AACCATTAGCCAATCACCAACCAAGGTAACCCCCCCACCTTATCACCTGAATCTCCTCCTAGAGCACCATTGTGTTCTTTTTAACCAAATATCTCTCATACCTAATTCACACCAACGGTGTTTCAGGGCCGGTTCGGAGCTGGAGCTTGAAAAGCACCGGGTTTTCCTGTTCACACCGCAGCGGAGCAGCCTCTTAGCTCCGGAATCCGGTTTGTTTGAAGCTCCAAAAAATTGTCCGGCTAGAGCAAAAGCACCGCATACATCACGCTTCTGTCGAGGCAGGGGCAGGGTCAGGGGGAACCGGAATCGTCGTTGAAGTTGATGATTACGATTGTAAAGCAGTTTTGAATGTAGCATGTAACGGCTGTAAAGTTGGTGGTAAAGTCGTCCCATTTCTTCCATTTCGTTTCGACAGAGCAAAACCAAAACTACAGTAGTAGCACTTCAACACAATCGGCCATTTTTGTTGTCGCAGCACCAGTGCGGTGTGAAAAGAGCCGGAGCTAAACCGAAGAACCGGTTTTGAACCTGAAAAGCGTGTGGTGTGTGGGGTGGCTCCTTATTTTCATCTAAACTAAAAGACAGAGAATCAGCACTTTAGAAACAGGGCTGAAAAAGAGGGGATGATGGGATGCTGCAATGATCGGTTTGTTATTTCGAGCCAAACTCTTCAGAGACATTTTTGTATATACAGTATCTGAGACCTATAATATATTGATGAAAGACAGTATAATAGGGGACCTTTTAATGTGTGTTTTATCACTGTACTTTATCTGTAAAATGTGGTAGTGCTCAACTGGGTCGTTGATGCTTGTTGGGAATACATAGAATATTGTGGTACTGTGGTAGTGGGCTAATCTGATGGCATGGCCCCTAACCCAGAATCATAACGAGGCTCTGTGTTTATGTTGCTGCTAAATTAAGCTCCATTGTTTGTCAGTTAAGCAAGTTCATATTCGTAATCCCACACAAACCGGACAATATGCCTCATTCTTGGAAGAGGATGTTAAACATACTGTAGCCACAGGGCAACAAGCAGAAGAGACATCTCTTTGTCCCAGGCTCCTCCTCTCGATGGAGTGGCCTGTCTCTGCTATTGCTGATATTTGCAATAAAGATTTGTTACTAAGGTCATTAGGCAACAGCGAGAAATCAATATCCTCCAGGCAATGGCAGAACTCAGCATAGTCGTTCAACTAGAAATCGTTCCCATTATCAAAGCCTAAAGGTCACGAGTTGACAACCATCTCATGCAACACACTCTTAGTTCCTTCTCCCTTTACTCTACCCTGCTTAACCCCTTTAAGGACTCACTCAGAACATTTTAGTGATGAAAAACGCTGCCATTAAATTCACCCCAGGTCACTGCTACATTGTCTGTCTGTACCAATCTGTAAAAGCAACCTTGCTGATAGCGAGAGAAACAAAACAGACCACGTCTCTCTTCTGCTTGGAATGATAAGGACAGCAAGGTCAAGAAAAGTTTGCCCCATCCTTCTCCACCCACCCACATTATTTCTCTTAAGGAAATCTTTATGTAAGTTTAGGCTATTGACGTTACAAGATTTGAGAGAGCACCAAACAAACTCCCGTTGTAAGCACAAAGGAGCAACTCGTTTGAAAGAAGAATCATGTTACTACATTGAACCAGAAGAAGGCATTCCCACACTAGTCATCAAACAGGTAGATGGTTACAGGTTACACAGCACAAGAGCCATAACCTGTTAGAGTTGACTTGGAATTAAAAGGCAATCCCTTTACTTTAAAAAATAAAATGTTGACCCCCAGATGATTGATTGATTGATTGATTGATTGATTGATTGATTGATTGATACATTTATTTCGAACAAGTACAATTATTAATTACAAAACAAAACAAATGTTGCAGTGCATAGTCATGTAAGAGAAATCAAAACAAAAAATCACATTTACGACAACAAGAACAGCATTAGCAACATAAACAGTGCCACATCTAGTGTAGTGTTCGAAACGGAGTGAGAAGAAGTATAATTTATTTAATCTCACCCCCTTGTCCCTAAATGATTTATTTATAATCTATAATCTGCAATAATTATCATTTTTATGTATTATTATTGTTATTATTATTATTATTATTATTATTAATCTGCTTTATCTGTTGATTGACATATATATATATACACATATACATACACTGATGTACATATATGCACACATATACACACCTACATACTTACACATATACACATACACATAGTCAAACACACATTTTTAATCCCAGATGGAGACAAAATGCAGTATTGGTGTCTCTACCGATCTAACATTCTGTAATGATAATGATAAGAGCAAACATGCAACTTGAAATCAAAGCAGCTAAATGGAAAGCCATCTTTAATTTAATTATTTACACCTCTACATTTCCTGCTAATATGTCTTTTGAATATGCTGCTCTTCATTTCAGTTCCTCATGTCGAGCTGTGTTATCAAAACTTCTACCTAAATACTGCAAAAACTGTGTTGGCGACCTTGGTAAACTGCCGTCTATCATCTGCACAGTCTTTGATTGTCTAGTTATCGTTGGTGATTTAAAAAATGTCTGTGTTGTATGTCTATGGTTGCCTCCTGAATGATGTTGCTATTTTTGATTATTCCTGTGTTTTCTTTGAGATGATTATCTCACACACACACACACACACACACACACACACACACACACACACACACACACACACACACACACACAAACACACACGCTTTATTGTCACATCTGCCTGCATTTAGGTCTAAGTCACTCATCAGGATGAAATGTGCACTGTTAAACATTATGTATACTATTATTTAAAATGTTATGTATAAAACGAGTTAGGAGTTCAAGTAAGTCCTTCTCTGACATCATTTCCGAAAGATAGTAATAATTCATCCGTCTCATTCGCTACTGTTTACAGGCTGACCAGAAGAAGTCTACTTCAACTTGTATCTTCTTTTATTATGATGTTTCTTAGTCATACAATGAATTCGCCTTAATTTACAGCGCCAGAGAATTAAAAGAACAAAGACACATCATTTTTGATCCATCCACTTTAATCCAGTTAAATTACCATGACACAATTTGATCCTATCATCCATATAACCTTTGAGGAAATTTTTCAACATCTGAAATACTCTTTTACTGCCTGGATTAACTGAATGATATCAGATTTTACAAGCATACAGCTCTGAATTGACCTTACAGGCCCATATCAAAGCTCACATTTTTAAGTAAAATAGATCAAAAGCCTTGTGGCCCAAGGCTACTATTTTGATATTTGCAGCAGGGATTTTGTCAACAACGCAACACAGCACACACTGCTGTTTTTTACACAGAAAGTGAAGACATTTCAGTTTTAGTATTTTTAGATTTAAATGCTTCATTCTACACGGTTGACCACACAATCCTTCCAGAGAGACGGATATAATTAGTCTGAGTTTCTCGCACAGTGCTTAACTGGTTTGAAGCCGAAAGACAGGGACTACTTTGTGTTGACTGATAACATATCTTGGCATGGGCGTCACAACCATTATATATATATATATATGTATATATATATACATTATATAACCTTTTAAAATGATTAGTTTAGACCCCCCCACGTTTACCATGTGGAAAGTCCGTGCGTCGGTCTATCTACTTGCCGCTCTTTGTAGAGCGCTGTGTCAGTGCTTCATTATCAAATCCATTCTACTTGCTTATTGTGAGAATGCCCAAATCAATGAAACTCCATTCCATGTTTTCACTGCTACTTTGTACTAAGGCAGATTCTCAGAGCCGTACACATGAGCCGTACACATGCGGCGTTTTTTGCTGTGTCTTTAGTTGTAAGCTCAGTGGCGATCTGTTAATCTGTCATATCATACAATAAAGCCATCGAAAAGAATAGGATACAGCATTAAAAGTTATTCTGGGTCTTTGTGTGTCATAGCTCGGCTGTGTGTGTGGTACGAGTGCATTTTGTGCGAGCGAGAGAGAGAGAGCGCACGAGAGAGCGCTAACATACATAAGGAGTTGTTTCTACAACAAGGAGGAGGAGAGCTCTCTCCTGTCAGACACATCTTATAACGCCAGCTCAGGGAGGCAAAGGACTCTCTGAGTGTTTAGATCGTTGACTTTAAGACTAAAGTCAACGATCTAAACACTCAGAGAGTCCTTTGCCTCCCTGAGCTGGCGTTATAAGATGTGTCTGACAGGAGAGAGCTCTCCTCCTCCTTGTTGTAGNATAATACACATGGGGGGTGTCAATTTATATATATATATATATATATATATATATATATCTTAACAAATACAAAGTCTCAGACTGATGATCAAGATGACATCCTGGATAGTTTATAAAGTCTGAAAGTGCAAATCGGACCTCAAAAA